CTACGGACCAGCGGCTTCTGAAACGCCGGCTATAGCACGAGTGAAGGCAGTGATGACGTCGGCGGCCTCGAGAACCGGTTCTGCCGCTGTTGAACCGGCAGTCAGCCCGAGGGTAAGTGGAAAGAAGTATACAGAAAATGAAGAAGAGGCTTGGCAAGCTGGACAATCCTCGTGCACTACCGGCGACGTAATGAAGATGTCAAGGCTAGCAACCGGCCTTGGCATGGCGGCACAGCAACCAGACTGTGATAGAGTCTCCATGTACCTGACTGGTGACAGCAGGAAGCTTTTCGGTGGTACAAGTGAGGGTGAAATAGTCGCATGGAGTCAACCCTTTGAACGTGTGAATGTGCAATCTTCAGTTGAAGACGCCGGAGGTGAGAAGTCGACGGAGACATATCTGACCAGCGGGCTGACCGGCTCTGATGGTGTCCCAGGGGCTGCATATGAAATGGACCAGAAGCCCTCAAGAGAGGGAAGTGTCATCCCCGAGAATCTAATAAAGGTTTCAGGTGGGTAGTTAAACTAATTCATTTTACTTACAGTCTCTTTGTTTTGTTAAGTAATTATTATTCTACGTCGCTGATGCCATAGTCATAAATAGCAATATTCGCCTTTAAATCATGCAGCGTCATTTATCTGTCCTCAATTTCGATACGAGTAGGTTTCGTTATTTTCAGTTCTTATGTAGAAATTAATGATTATATCGAAAACTACTCATATCAAAATTGAGCAACGTCGTTGATTGCTATGGTAACCATATGTTTGCTTAATTGAGAATGGGACATTTCGACGATGCTGATCCACAATGAAATGTGAGTTGAGAGAAGCCTGGCTGGCTTCGAATGTTGTGGCATACTCTCACCTCTGGCCGTGTGGCGGTGTGGTAAACGTTGCCATAAAAATCACGACCCGAGATCGATCCCGATTGTAGGTGTTTCAGTCCATCCTGAATAAGATTTTGAACAAGCCCACGGAAAATTCAATGACATCTTGAGACCTATTTAGCTCATTGTTGGGAAAGACTATAACTTTTAGTAGTAAGCATTTGCAAACATTCTTTTAATTTAGTCATTAAACTCCGATTACTTCGGCATAATTATCCAGAATTTACTGCTGGATTCGTGTCTTGGTATACGCATGCACACAAGCAAACATCCAAATACGTTGATTGAGATGCTAGTATTTTTGGTTAAGTAAACCATGACGACCCTGAATTGATGAGTTAGGTCTGTATGTTTTATAGCCTGACTTACTTCTTAACCAGAATTACGTTGAGGTTTATACACTCCCAGACGTGCTTATATTTGGATCATTAAGCTTTGACTACGTGGGACTGAAGTTAGGTTCTATTATAATGTCTCTTAGATAACTTACCGTTTCTTATTCTGGCTCACACGCGTACAAAAGACGACACACACATACATGCTTAAATGCAATCACCCTTATCCATATAAAAGATGGCTAACCGAATTATTAAATATGTATACATATGAAAATATTTCCATTTTAGTTGAGAGTATATCTAATCTGTTTGACTTAGTGTTGACTCAAAGAATTTGCAATAGGCCTTATCTCTGATAATGCCGATAGTATGACGGACTAAATCTCAGCCCCTTTTCGCCCGAAACGAAGTAGAATGCCTCTTGGACTGTGTGAGATCAAACGACTGAAGGATATAGGATCAATCGTCTTCACGCTTTCTGGGCAAGCGATATTTTTTAATTCAAGAGGACATTTTTGTTCGAACAATTGCATAATTTGCTTGCCGCCTAAGACAGTCTATATCAAGCTTGCTATCAATAATAAGATGTACAGAGAAGGCAAATGTTTTTGGGATGATGCCAAATGTATGCTTGGTTTGAGTTGATGCTAGAGGCCCGATAAAAAGGGTATTGTGGCGAATCTATGGAATATTAGTGGAAGGATTATTCGAAGTGGATAACCCAAAAATGACACTTGATCCGCAAGTCTTTGGTTAAGATTCGGTTGGAAGATGAGAACTACAGTGAAAGATTAAGATGAGGATTTTCCAATGTGTAAGGACTTTCAGGTAGAATGAGATAAAAAGCTAGCGATAGTATAGATCACCAACATGTCAACATGAAGTTAATAGTAATATCAAACACCTCTTCAAACGAAAGGACAGAAATTCCAATACCAAACATCATCAGACTGACAGGAATACCTCATTGTCTTCTGGCTAGATGACTCACTCAAACGGACGTTTTCACATAAAAATAAAGTAACCAAAATAATATTTCCGATATATACTGGATTCTGAGGAACTTTTGAAATTGACACTTTGCCCTTCCTTTCATGCCCGTAACATTATGTCTACTCTTTATCCAATTCTGTGGGTACCTTACAAAGTAGCCGGAAGCAATATCTTATACTATGTAGCGCGCATTCGTAGTGGACACATCAAATGCAGATTATCATCAGGATTTGCTAACCTAGGACTAGAAAACGGAGAAAACAAGCATAATTTCCGAATTTACAACACCAGCGGTATTTAGTCATAGTCCCATTCTTTCAGGTCAAGAAAGTTAACCTGGCCTCTGACTTTTCTTGTGTTTTATTTGAATCCTGAGGGTGCTGCCGGTACCTAGGCAATGTTGGCCATGCACGCTCTCTTGCCGCTCTACATTGAGCAACAAATAAGATGGTATTTAGTTCACTACAACGTCTTGCAGAATGCATCATTTTGCTAATTTCTCAATGAAAAACATAAAAATTTACCATATTACATGCAAACTAAATACTAGTAAAATACACTGCTAACTGAATAAGACACTATGCCATACGATGTTTTGACCGTTGACTTATAATAGTATAGATCACCAACATGTCAACATGAAGTTAATAGTAATATCAAACACCTCTTCGAACGAAAGGAAAGAAATTCAAATACCAAACATCGTCAGACTGACAGGAATACCTCATTGTCTTCTGGCTAGATGACTCACTCAAACGGACGTTTTCACATAAAA